CAACTCACTTTCCCCTGATCACATAGATCAGACATGCTGGACCAGGGATTTTGGACCCTTGTTAACCGCTATTCTAACTGACAGAACAGACGTCTACCACTAAAAGCTTTCACCTCCCCAAAATCAGACAGAAGATTTTAATTCTAGCAATATGTTATTAAAACACATACTTAGCTTCAAAAGTATCTTATATCAAGCTGTATCATTGCCTTTATTTATTTACATGTTTATTTATTTATTTACTTTTCATGATGTGGTTCCTTAGGCACAGGGATTCCCCCTTCCATCCTCCCAATTCCCCCCACACTAATTTTCCCCATACTATTACAGTCGTATAGTCCTTCAGCAACAGTTACAAATTCAACATTCTGCTATTGAAGTGCAGCATGGCATTGTAGGTACAGACAATGGTAGAAAGTCTAGTATCCTCCTATAAAGATATATTTAACAGTTTCATTGGGAATCGCCTTTTCTTGGGGAGTAGGGATGCATTACCATCTTCATAGTGATGCAGTGTATCTTTTATTTCCCAGTGTGCTAGTCCCCATTCTAGAGTTCATCTCTGGGAATATCTATCTATCTATATATATCTATAGATATATCTATATATCTATATATATAGATATACATGCTTACCTATGTACCTATTTGTTTTGTATTTTGTATAAAGCTTTCCTTATATCAGAGAGAACATATGATATTTGTTCTTTTGGGATTGCCCTATTTTACTGAGCATAATGGGTTAAATTTCAATGTGCTAAAATCTTGGAACTTTTCCCCTTCTTGCTAAAAGCCCTGAGATGATTCATATGCATTGTGTTTGGATGTAGAAAACACCACACACCTAGTCCCTCTGCAACATTTTAAGAAGTACATTATAACTATGTGGTTGCATGCGCACCTTCTTCCAGTGAAACTGTGTTCCTCAACATAGTCTGGGGCAACATAACTGCAGGATAACTCTCAAGAACTGGACCTCACACACTCCATCCAGATGAGCTAATTCATTTGTAATCTGGAGGGGAAATGTCAACAAGTTTTTTTTACTTCCACAAATCTACAAGCCAGAATAAGAAGACAGAAGCTGAAACTGGCCAGGCACAAGCTTTGTCTCAGCCCTCACCTCCTCCATTATCTTTCTGAAATGATTGCAGCCTGTAACTTTAATGTTTCTTCTCAGAGTGACTCCCTCTGGTGCCCCAGCAAAGCCTTGACCTAAATCACAACAGTGCTAAATGCAGATAAGGCTGAACGGAGCACACTCTGGCTGTTTGCTCTAATTGCAGTACCCAGCATACATTAGAGAACAGTTATATTTAAGTCTCACCAACAATTCTACAAAAGCTTGTGGGATTTGCTGCTGAGAGCTCATGCCTTGTAGGTGTCCTTAAGGTGTTTACTTAAAATAGATCCATATCTATTCTGATTAAAACAGTGAGTTCTCAAACTAAGATGGGAGATGCTTAAGGAACCTCTGCCTTATCTTAATGCTGAATCCCTAGTGTTCACAATTCAAGAGGGGGCACAGAGTCTGTAACTCTCAGTTGTAACCCTAAATGCTTCTTATTCTTTGCAAGGACCTGGGCAATTTATTCAGGCAAGCTTTTAAACATTCTCTGTGCTAGAATATGTGGAATTACTTTGCAAAGCCATGGTTAACTAGTCTACTGTTACCTCATGCAAATTTGCAATGTGGATTCAAGCTTTTCTCTGCTCCTAAAATGGAAAACTGCATGACAGAATCATAAAGCAATTCAGTTGTTGTTTTCAGAGCCAAATATCTATTTGTACCACGGCACTATGCATAAATACATTGAAGTAATTTTTACTCGCTTGTAGAAAGAACTGTGCTATTCGTTTTTTTAAGCACTGTTAGATTTTTGTACAATAATAGGAAACTATCCCAATATGTTTTGAGTTTTCAGTAATTTTATGTTCTTAGTTTGGTGGTGTTAACATTCGTAACACTAGTTGGTGCTAGATAAGCAGCACATCAATGCTATGTAGTCCAAACACAATGCATGTGTACAACAGGAGCACATTTATTCAGAGTACACTGATCAAACACATATACACAACCTCACAGACAGCCTCTTACTAATACAATCTACCCTTCTTGGAAGTCATAAGTCCGACAAATTCCCTGGAGCTAAGAGTTCCCAGAAATCCTGAATGAAACAATTAGGGCACAGCCAGAAAGGAGAAAGTTGTTGCATACAGCCTGGAGAATGTCCCAAGGACCTGCTTAAAATGACTGCTGTCTCTTTGAACCGCAGATACCAAACTGAATACATTCACCAATAACATGCTGCTTTTCTCCTTTTGCTTCTTTTTTTTTCCTTAAACCTGTGCTGTTTCTTGGCTACCGCTAAAGGGATAGAAGCATAAACTTCCTATGTTCCCAGTATTACTCAAACACAACAAAAATCTCAGCCACAGTGTACAGTGCTTAAATTAACTCCATCATCTCAATTGCTTATATACTTCCATTGATTAAAAATAGTTCATTTTGATCCTTAAGACGCCAGCAGAAGCAAACCAGGCTGCGGGGTTGTGAGTTATGGTGGTAGTCTGCAGAGAGGAGAAGGAAGCAAAACAAAAAGGAAGTGTAGGTCAAACACGCAAACCATTATAAAATATGTGTTTCTGAGAGGCAAGTGTTAATTGCAGTTCAATAGCAAACAGGCTGGGGTAATGGATAACGCTGACAGTGATAGCCTGAGAGCTGGTTTTACATCTTTACCCTTCCTCTGCTACCTAACAGACAACACAGGGAGAGCCAGTGTGCTGGGGCACTGAGGAAAACCAAGATAAAAGTGGCAGAGGCTGCATCTCACAGATCACAAGATTGAAACAAAAATGCTATTCACCAAAGGAACTAAAGGAAATGGAGAAGACCTCCACCGAAATGCACACGCTCCACAGAATACATTCCATTTCCCTCGGAAGATCAGAATCGGCCCTCAGTGTTTGACTTGGGAGTTTCTTGAAAAGAAAAAGTGCAGGAGGAAAAACTGTTCATCCTGAGCCTCTTTCTTTTTATCTCTTCTCCCTTCTCCTTTCAGTATTAATCCACTTACATCCTCCCCTGTTTGATTATCTTTATTGATCCTTTTCCTACCCTGTCTTTTTAATTTAGCTGTTGTAAGCTCCCGGCAGGGATCCTGTCTCCTGGCTGGGGTCATTAGGGACTTTAACTTGTCCTCTTCCCCAAATGGTTCTTTAACCACGTTCTGTTTCCCAACAACCCATGGCTCAGTCCTTTGTGCACCCAATAACAGCAGGCAGAATGCACAGGGAGTCACACGGCTGATTCCACCACTATTCATCAGGTTGCTCACTTCACTTGCCCAACACCCCCTCCTTTCTATGCAATCTCTCGGCAACCATCCTGAGAAGTTCTCACCAATCACCAGAAATCTACCACAAGCTCCGACTCTCAGTGGAGCTTTTGTGAAATAGACAGTCAGAAGAGCTCTGGAGGAGAGCCTAAGAAAAGCAGAGCTGACCTGCCAGGAGCCAGGATGGAAGTCGTCTGGCTAGGAGAGAAGCAAGGATTTATGAGCCTGGCCACTTAGCAGGGCAGCAGGAAAATTTACTCCCAAAGTAGCTCTCGCTAATTCACCTAATTCACAAAGCCTTGCTAATGACTTACTACTCCACTTCCCCATCCTCCACTCTTGCAACAGCCTGGGCTCCTAGCTGCCCTCCACCAGCTTTGCGCACGCCCTGAGCGCACCTCTCTGAGCAGAGCTGGGTGGAGAGATCGCAGGATGCAGCGCCACACTGTGTGTGCATCCCCAGGCAGCTGGGGGCTACCGACATGCCTCCCCGGTACTCCAAATTTGGGAACAACAATCATTTATAGGTGGGACTGGGGGTTTTCCGAGTTGCCTGCAAATGCTGCAAAGGCTGTCTTCAACCTCTCCAGGCTTCCAACAGAAGCTGAGCCGCTTTCCCTGGGTGAGCTACCGCCCCCAAACTGAACCATTCAGTAGGTCTCTGGGATTTGCCAGGAGGTGGTGTAGGACCCAGGTGATCAGAGAAAGGTGACCTCCTCGAAGGGGACAGCGTTGACTTCTTCCAGCCCCCGCCCCCACATCCCCAACACCCTCGCACTTAAAACTCCCTGGGCAGTAAAGACCGGAGCTGGGCAATCGGACTGGCTCTCTTGTCCTCCGGGCCCACCACTAACTCTCACTTGGCCGCTGCCCTCCCCACCCTGGGTTTGTTCCAGGTCCTGAACGCACTTACTACAAAGCTTACAAGAGTTAAATTAAGCTGTCAGACTCAGTAACTGGCCAGCAACCCTGGGGAGTTTTGGATTTGGTCAGGGTAACCAGCCTGAGATTCCTGAGAGCTCTCAGGTTTTAAGTTTCTGGGGGCATCTGTTGGGAAGCCAGAGAAGGCACAGCAAGGCTTGTGCACCCTGGGAACTGCTGTGCTGCTACAGCGGCCCTGAGAGGCTGCTGATCTCTATAGCTTCAGGAGCCTCTGCCCAGGGACACCCACTCGGGCTGTTTGTCTTCAGCGTCAATGGACGCGTTTATGTAGCTCAGTCCCCATCCAGCTCCAATGTGCTCAGAGAAGCCCCGAGGACCTCACACGCCTACCCAAGGCACAGCACAAGGGCGCATTTCTGGAATACCACACAGCGGTCCATACAGAGAGCCGCTGGGAACCTGTGTGCATTCACAGGCGACAAAGTGTGCGAGCGGGCTGGACGTGCAAGACACCCCTCGGGCGCCCCCATGCACCCACACGGACGCGTGTCCACACCCCGGGCGACTCCGCTCCAGCCATGCCCGTTTTGGAAGATGGAGTCAAGATCGTATCATCATCCACGCTTCCCGACCCGAGTAGTTAGGAAAGTGGGAGTTGAAGTGGTTTCCAGTTGAGGGCAAAGAGGCTGACTGAAGACGGCAGAACTTGAAAGGAGGAGAGAAAGATGGCAAGGAACAAGAGCAAAGAGGCTGCGGGAGCCAGGCGGACCCCCTTACCTTGAGCGGCGGAGCCCGTGCCGCTGGCGCTGAGCAGGGCCAGGGCAGGTAACGCGAGCATTTGCAGCACGTATCCCAGTCCCAGTCCGCAGCGGGCCGCTGTCGCCCGCAGACCTTTCCTCATGGTTAATAGAAGGGTGCGGTGGAGAGCTACCCGAAAAAGGTGCAAACAGCTTTCAGCCGCCCCGCTGGGCAGCCGCTGACTGTGCGCCGAGAAGCAGTCCGAAGAAGTCGCCACAATCCAACACCACACTCCACTTTCTCCAAAAAGCAGGCACCGAAAAGGGGTGGAGGGCAGAAGCTGAGGAGGAGTTTGCCGGTCTCTCTCTGCCAGTGCCTTCTAACTGATGTCTCCACTCAGTGCCTGCTCTGCCCCCACTTGGGAAGTCCGGGGAGGCGCAAGAGGGCCACCTCCGCCTCTTCGCACAGCAGCAGGAGCAGCCGCAGCTCTTCGGCGCGCCGAGCAGGACTGCTCGCCGGGTCCCCTTGCTGGCGAGGAACACGTACAGCCACGGGGTGGGGGGAAGGAGGAGGGAGCAGAGGAAAGGCGCTTGGGCACTGCGAGCCTCTCCCAGCTCCAATCTCAGCCTTCCCACAAGGGCATGGGCGCCCAGGCTGCTGCTGTTGCTACTGCTGGCAGCCAGAGAGGGTCACCTCCTAGTTGGGGGTGCGTTCAACTCCACAGAGGAGCTCAGGAAGGAGGCATGTGGGGCACAGCTCAACTCCACTGCTGGGGTCGGGTCGGCGGCAGCAGGAGGACACCCAGCCGCCTTATGTAAGCGAGACTCGGATGGAGACCCACAACCGTTACAGAAGGTGGGGGACCAGCGGGTGATGCGCCTGCAGAAGCCCGGGCAAGACAGAGCCTCGGGGAAGAGGAGACTGCCCCCTGCGGTGCGCCAGATCTGGACTCCGGGAGCGCAGCGGGCGCGCCCCAGGCCACTTGGCTGCGAGTGGCAGAGCTCAGCCTGCCTGCCGTCCGCCAGCTACAACGCAACAGCAAAGCCTAAGCCAGACTCCCGGGAACTGGACTGGACTTGTTCTAGCACTTTTGGTCTTGTGGCGATGCCAGGTGCGGCTGAAACCAAAGCCTTTGGGAGGGGAGAAGCATGGAAGCTTTGGCAGCGTCCCAGTGTGCTGTACTCTTGAGGTTGCCAGCACCACTCAGGCTGTTTTGTGCTTGGAACGTCAGTGATCTCTCTGCTGTGGAAAAAAGTCTAAAAGCTTCGTGGACAGTCAGTCCTTCTTGCAGTAGTGCTTTAATTTGGTGTATCTCGGGGATTGGCCACATTGAATGTGTAAAGGGTGGTGAGGCAGTACAGGGAGAATGTCTTCTAGAAGGAGAAATGAACATTTATAGATACTCCTTGGAAGTGATGGTGGAAGCTGTGGTTTCGCGTCCAGATTCCCACCAGCGAGGTGTAAGGGCTCAAATCACTTTGAATATTTGACCTTTATATGGCAAACTGTTTTGATAGGTGGTGAACTGTTGGAAGAATGAAGGAGGAATAGAGGAATGGAAAATGAGAGGCTAGACAAAAAGGGCAGGAAACGGGGGGGGGGTTCAGATAACATGGCACAGCTAGCATTTTGGGGACACAATCAGTATTTGGGGAAGAACAAAATTCCTTCTTGGGAATAATACATTTCTTCCCAAGAATAAATAATGCATCAGAGAAACGCTCAAGCGCCTGATGGCAGGAACTCACAAGCTGAGCACTGGAGGTCTGTCTATACTGGCTACGTCCTCAGTACTTTGTTACATGGGCCAGTCAGGTAACCTTTGTATGTTTCCTCTGTAAACCATTTTCTACCTTTTAGTGCTAACATTCTGTGATGTGTCTGCCCAGCTTCAGCTAGGCCTCTGGACAATGAAACCTGTTTTGGATGAATTGGATCGGTCTGAAAAGATCATAGCTGTCAAAGACACTGATGATGGTTGTTTCCTATTTCTATGGCCTTTCTACCTGCTGCACTAAAATCTCTTCTGTTCCCCTCTTCAAAGGTCCAGCACCAAAACATTTGGAAAGAGGAGAGATGCTGACAATGGTCTCCTGGTTCAGTTCTTTGTCCCAGTGACTACCTGACTGACAGGAGCAATAAGGCTAGGTGCCTCTGTCTGCCGAGTCCGTATAGTGGGTCTAGGAGCAATAACTATCTTATAGGGTTTTCTAAGGATTGAGTGAATTAAGTGTGTATAAACCACTTCACACAAAATTATTATTAAGCACTCTTCTTCCCATTGTTGGAAGATTTCCAACAGCAGGTGTTGTCTAGATCAGGGCTGTTCAACACGACTTTCTAGAATAAGGCATCATTAGACTCTTGTGGTGACTGTGCATCTGCAATATGGATCTAGTGAACTGGAAGCTTTAATTTTTATGAAAGTAGCCACACGTGATTAGCAGCTACCATGCTGGGTGGAATGGCGAGATCGCTTTTTCTTTTAAGAATTTTCAGAAAGGACCATGTGTTATATGTATCTTATTCCTTCTGCAAGAAGGACATCGATTTAAATTTAAAGAAGTAAATCCCTCTAAATAGTCCCTTTCTTATGAGCATCATTCAAAAGTTATTACCTTCGGTCTTGTCAATTTCATTGTGGATACCTTGTCCTCTGTAGTTTCACCTGTAGTTCCTAAAAGCACCCGAAACACACTTGTTGCTCAATCAGTAGTAATTCATTGCCAGAAATGCTCAGTGGAGAAGAATTCTCCATATATTGAATTCTTTAAAAAAAAGTGTTGAAATAGTGACCTGTCACTGCTTGGGCCTGGAGCTATTCAGTAACGGTTACTGTATGAAATGAATACCTTGAGAGAAAGACTGAGGGGCAGAAAGGGGAAAAAAAAGTTCAGTTCTGAAATTCAGCCTAAAGAGGGCAGAAGAATGGTTTGAGAAATGGTCTGTGTGCAGAGCAGTGATAGGGACGGGAAAGGAGAAGCAGAGCCCAGGGGCAGGGGAAACATTGAAGCAGAGGTCACAGCAAACATGGATGAACTTGCCTTGAGTATCAACACATTCTGCAGAGATCTTATTGTCTTCCATATTTTTTTCTGCATGAAAATGAAAATGTAGTCTCATAGGATTCTGAGCCTAGGATTAACACCACTCAGTTACAAGCTCAAATAGCGCTGCCTAGCAATGTCTCACACCTTAAATACCAATCTATCATTCCAAACTGCTTCTACCTATACTGATTTTCCATATTACATTGTTTTATATATACAAATACACATATATGCAAAATCTGAAAATACTTTCAAGTGTGAGAGTATGTTTATATTCTTTCTGGTGGAATATATACTTCTGAAGAGGAGGACTTTTTTTTTTCTTACATAGTACATTCATTACTCTATACCTAGACTTAGAACACACAATCTGGCTTAAAATGGAAGGTCAATAAATGCTTGTTGAGGATTCAATGGGTGATGAGGGCCAAGGCTGTTTAAATGAAGTCTATGATTAACACCTTACTCATTCACAGTTTCAAATTATGAGTTGACTTTCTTTCTAAGTTACTGGATAGAATCAAATTTGGACAAATTTGTTTTGCACTGAAATTTTGTCTGAATATGATATTTTAAAGTTGGGATGCTGCAGGTGTTTAAAGAACAGATGATAAATTCATGTTATTTTGAAAAATAAAAAGCTTCATTTAAATCCATATACAAGGGCTTCCTTTTTCTTGGCTACAGTGAGTACAGAATTAACTCTGGGATAATAAATCCCAGTGACAGGTGCTAATGGGAATTAAGCATGCAAATCCCCTGCATATCCCTCCAGAAATCTACACCAAGAGAAGTATGCTATTTAGCATGTAGGCTGCTTAGTAATAATGTTATTTACTCTAAGCTAACATGGGAACAGTTTCCAGCTTAAGGCTTAAATAAAAACAACTGAGCATATATTTGAATTATATATATTTTTTTCCATTTTTATTTCTGTCCTTATGTTTGATTTCTCACTTTTTGTCCTTTTGAATGATTTCTTTTAAGTAACTTCATACCAGCAGGATTATCAAGTAGAAATGAGCTTTTCATGAACAAATGGGATGATGTTAACGAAAGCTCCTTTCTAAGTAAGGGTTGGGTGTCCAGAGGCCTCAGAAAATTTTCTTGACAGAGACCAACTAAGGAGAGCCAGATGGTTCTGATTCAGTTGATCAATCCACCTTGGCTTTCTCATCCCAAGAAAGAGAGTTGGCCTGTCATAAGCAACACACCTGGAGCTTTATGTTTTTCATACATTGTATTAAATGAGACTACTTATTTGCAATTGAAAGAATTCCAACCTATAGCAACTTAAGCAAAAAGCAAAGTTATTTCTGAATGTAACTTGATATTGATGAATTAAAAAATTGACACTAATATTGGCTAATATTTATTGATCACTAGTTATGTGTCAAAACTGTTACCAAATTTTTACATGTTTTATCTCATTTAATTCCGACATGGAAGATGAAATTATATGATATTATTGTCATGTTTGCTCTTTGCTGTTATGATATAAATAACCAGTTTGTGTTATTCTATGAAAGAGTAATGTATTTTCTCATAGGTCTTGAATTTGCCGAAGTCTAAGATCTAGGGACTAGTATGTGATGATAACATTCTTGATTTGTCCTTTCATGGTGTAGGGGAAAAGAGAAGGTGCGAGAGGACAAGAGGGGCTCAGCTCTAGTTTTTTTATAAGGATGATAATAAAAGAGGTCTTCTGATGATAGCTGGCATCCATTCCATGACAATGGTTCAGGTGACCCAATTAGCCCTGCCTCTCACACTATAACATTGGGGATATTTTCAACACATACATTTTGGGAGGATACATTCAAACCATAGAAATTATTATCATTTTTCATGGGGAAAATGACTGACTACGTAACTCACCACAATGTCACATTCAGCTAGTATTTATTGGTGCCTGATTCATATGTCTTATTCTATCTACAAGAACTTAAACATTCAAAGGACTTGGTCCTTCCCTTGCATCTCAATGCTGACTCCAATACTCTTGTTCTGGCCTCTGAATTCAATTTGTTTTAATCCATGGACTTGTGATTTCCATGCTGGGATACCTGGAAGCTCCTGGTGCAAACTGTCTTTAATGCCACCCATGGAGGCATACATCCTACCATTCTCATCCTTGGCAGTCCAAGACAATTTACAATTAAGTCTCCAGCCTACCTTGTTTCTTGTATCAATAACAGAGGGACTCACTATAGCCAGATGGTTGGGATACACTCAATGACAAGATCTAGGTCTTATGCCAAATTTCTGAGAGTGGAAAATTGGATTGAGAGTGGGCAGAAGGTGTTCCTCAGAATAAAAGGCAATATCTGGAAGTAGAAGATTAATGCAGAATAACAGAGCTCTTTTCTGTGCTGTTTGGGGGCAAATTAACTCCACTTGTTTACTTTTGTTCCATAACATATCATTGAAGAAAATGAGAGGCTTTGCTTAA